GTAGCCAAGCCGGAGGCATTTTGAATCCATCCGAAAGGAATGACTTGGCAGACTGGCGTTTTAATTGGCTCCTTAGGCAGAATTAGTATTTCACAGACGGCTAGGTTGGAATTAAGACCGGCCTAACTTTAAAGTACACCCCAGCCTCCTGCGCTTCTTGGAAGTGTGGAAGGGTGTTTCACTCAAACCCCTTAATGCGTCTAGAACGACCACACGATTAGTCTTCGAGACTTTAGGCAGTGAGTCAGCCAAAGTGATGCAGGGTTGCTTAGATTCCGACCCGATTTATTTGCTACAGATGAGCTTGTCTTGAATTACACAGCCCTTAACTGGAGTTGCTTTAAAGGGGTTGCCAACTGGTGTGATTGCAGCGCTAACAACCGGACTATGATTATCATCCTAATTCATCACCACTTCCTCAGGTTGGTTCGAGAGCCAAGCACGATGTCAATTAGTGAAATAGAGCAGTCGAACAACAATTAGATGCCTGATACAGTTTCATTAACGGGTGCCGAATGATACAAAATTGCCAACGAAAGTGGCGTTCTAGAGATGCCCACTTTACCAGGGCTAATATGGTACAAATAAAAAGGTTTACCTTTCCAAGAGTGTGTTTCCTTTTCGGTATAAGTATGTTTTGGGACTACTTCTTTAGACTAGGCGACTTAAGGTGATTTAATGACTGACAGTTGAGTATTTTCCACAATCACATGAGTAGGCCTCCAGATGCGATTGAATCTCACAGGGAAAATGTGACATAAAGGGTATGGCGATCGTTAATGCAATCGGCAATACTACTTATTTCTGATGTAAGTAGCTTACGAAACTATCATTAATGCCTAAATAATAACCTAAGGCGATTTAAGCATCGGCAATTAGTAGCTTTTTGAGGGTGTATTTATTGTGGCAAGAGTCAACTTTCTTAAGTTAATTTTCAACAATATCATGCACTATCTCTTACACCGAGATAGGCATCGTCATAGCGATACGTTATGAAAAATCATATCAATATACAAAATCAAACATACTCACTTCTTATACCCAATTTTGCGATCTTAAGGAGGCATCTAATGATTTGGTTGACTCAATCAAGCTTACTCTAAATTCTTGCAGATGAGTGAAGTTAGTTAATGTAAAGGAAGTGGATGCAGTGGTAGTAGGACCCCCTACATTTGACGCATTTTCTGGGTTTATTGTGTTCAGTTGATGTTTAGGTTATGAGAGATGTGAAGGAGTCAACCAGGCTCGAGGCTCTTTAGTCCACCTTCACTTGCTCTGCGCTTCCTCCTGCTCACCCTCTCGGTAAATACCGTGCGATTAGAATTTATTGATTCGTATAGACTTATTTTCTTTGCTTTTCTTTAGTTCATTTTAAACAAAAACACAATTTTGTATAGTTTATAGCACATAAATACGGTTGTTATAGTGCAAATGAAAGTTTATATTTTATATTTCATATTTTGTATTTTCTTAAATTTTTTTCTAGCCCAATTCTCCTCCTGTGTAAAGGATGACAAAAATATGCTTATTGTATCACAATCAACATGACCTTTGGTTGTACGGGTTGAGTGATGTTGAGCGTAGTCAAGCCTTTTCATCAGATTTAGCATGGCCAGAGATGACGGGTGAAAATGGCGCGTACTGGCAACATTTGAAAAGCTAGCTACGTCTTCGAGTTTAGTTTATCTCAATCACGATTCCTATCTCGACTCAATTGCGTCTCCAACCTTCTCTGAGTCCCATAAACGTCCATAAATTCATGCACTCCGGAGACGCCCGCCCCAGTAGGCCACATGAACCTAGAGCCATTGCCTGGCGGTGAAGGTATGAAGTTCGAGACCATGCAGAACTTCCATCAACGTGCGTAAATGCTTGGGCTGCATCCACAGACTCTAAAGATGGGCTCATCATTGCTTGCTTTGCAAAATGCAGCAAATCTCGAGTCTTTGGCCTCGAGAAAACTCACCTGTACGGAAGAGTGTACACTCCGGCTTCGGTTGATCAAGTGAAAGGAGACCAATCTGCAATAGGAAAAGTGTGACGGATGCACAACTGCAGCTCGCTTGGGTCTCATCAGCACCCTCGATAGGAATCGGCCCCAGATTGTAGCTGAGGCAAACTGGTATTTTTCCGTTACACTCGACCATACTACTTAAATTAAGTTGAAACAGGCGTCCGAGCCCGAATACGAGTTGTAGTATCACGATGAAGGACTGAGAGATGAAGTTGCCCGCAATGGTATTAGTTCAGGTTTGCGAAAAGGGGC